ATGGATAGAAAATTCAGTAAAACGGTCATAACTCTTGATAGAAGAAGCAGGAACCCAAATCCTTTTAGGGTATTTACTATCTCAATATGCTCACTTAAATGAGATATAAATGAATCAAAACAGGAGGTTACACCTCGGGAAGTTCCCTCGTTAGTTATAGATATTTACCGAAAAAGTACATAATGGAATTTTGACTTGAAATTTTGCTCATAGATAGATCTAATAACTTTAAAAATATCCTGAATGTTTCAGTCGAAAAGAATATTCCTTTGTTGAGATATTAAATTTCGAAAATATGGTCGTTTGCTACAAAAATTGATTTTACTTGAAAATTCAACATTTTGATAAAGGAACATTCTTTTCGACTGAAATTTTCAGGATATTTCCAAAGTCATTAGATGTATCTATAGGGGAAATTTCAAGTCGAATTTCCATTATTTGATTTTTCTATAAATACTTGAAGCTGGATCAAAAAGTCAGTAAAATGGTCATAACTCGACTGCATAGGCCAGTGGACACAAATCTTTTTAAGATTTTTTTAGTTTTTATTCAATGCAAATACCAAAAATCAGAAGACAGAACAGATGATTTAGAAGAGAGTATAACAATTTTATCTCGAAACCTTCAGTGCGATAAACACTCTCGTTTGTGTCATATTAACTTGATAGCAAAAGTATTTTCTTAGAAATCATGTTAATTAAAAAAAAAACTTTATATAGTTAGTCATTTTACGGTTATTCATTGACATATACATAAAAAATGGGAAAAAAAAGTTAATAAAGAGTTCAATATGAATTAGAAAAGATAAGTTGTTTGCCGTACAATAGATGGCATTTTTATAACATGACTGTATTATTTTGAAAAAAAGTGATTGGGTTAACTATGTTGTCTGTCTATCATTCGATTCTAGTTGTTATTTAACAAAAACTATTTTCATTGAATGCTGCGATAAATTAGTTCATTTTTCTTTTTTTTTCATTGTTGATTGACAGAGTCTCTAAAAATTAAAGTCATAACTAAAAACTCAAAAAATTGGATAAGTCTGCATAGAAAATACAATGAAAAGATATGTAATGTTTTGAAAAGTTTAGAATAGATTGGGCTTTAGTACTTACGATGGAGATCCCCCTAACTAATTCATTGGTTTTTGAGTCGGGACTATGTGTATCATATAGATTCAAATGAGTTTTGAATATCATGAAAAACGTTCCGACCCATAGTTCATCGCTGACGAGAAACCGTAGTTTTTAAATAAATGTAGAATAGGAACAATGACACGATCTGAAATATTCACGAGAAACTACTCAGCAACGCGTAAGCTAAGAGGCTGAACTCTTTTTAAGGTATTCATAGCTCATTTGGTTCTACATTAGGCACATAGTCTCGACTGAAAAGCTATTAATGCATTAGAAGATTTTCATCATTAGCTAAATTTTAAACATCTTTATATTTTCTTTTTATTTCTAAAGTCTTCTTTCAAAATGCTTGATGATCGTTGTTCAGCTTGTTTATTACGTGGTGGTCTTCTTGTTAATCCTGATACATCATCATCATTTATTCATGCCATATGTTCAATATATCAAGCTTATGAACAGCCATCGTCATCATCATCCTCACAAGTAAAATCATGTCATTATTGTTGGTCATTTTGTCCTTTAAATTATCGTCGTATATTAACTCATAGTTTTGTTTCATGTAATCATAATAAATGTAAAAATCAATTTCATGTAACTTGTGGTCTTATCAGTGGATGTACATTTCAAATTGACCATGATTATTCAATAATAAATGCTCGTTGTCATCTACATACAAGACCTCATCAATCTTCAATGAATATCAACAATCTACAAACATCAATAGATAATATTGATTATGAAACAGCAGAATGTCTTGATCATCTAATCGATGACGAACAACAACAACATGAAGATGATGATAATGATGATGATGATGAAATCGTTGCTGAAAATGAACGTGTATCAATCGGTACACGAGTTATATTGAATGATATAAAAGAACCAAAAATTGGTCGAGTTATGTCAAATGAAATAAGTTTTCATTATGCTGTTGATTTTGGTGACGGAAGTTATAGTCATGATATGTATGTAATAATGAAAAAAAAAAACAATTTATTGAAAAAAATCATGAATTTATTTTTGTTTTTCTTAAGGCTTGCTGAAGATATTCTTGATTATGATCCATCTATTGAACCCATAACACTTGTTGTTGGTTCAAATATTCGTATAAAATGGACTGATGATAAAATATATTCATGTAAATATTTAGGTCGTAAACGTGTACTTTTATATCATATTAAAATTGATAATGAAACACGACAAATGCGTCGAAGTGAATTTTCATATGATATTCAACCACCATCACCACCATTAACACCAGGTCAAACTCAACGAGAACATAATTATAGTCGACGACAACCATTAACAACAAGTCGAAAACGACAACGTCAACGAAAACAACAAAAAAAAGTTAAACGAAAACGACGATGTGTAGTCTTGTCTTCTTCATCGTCATCAGATGAATTTTAGATTATTATTGAATTGTTTTCTTTTCTTTTTTTTCTACTGTATATGATGTTTAATACTTAGTTTTGTCATCTTATCAAATGCACAAAACATATTTTTCTCAGCATACAAATTCTCATATTTATATATTTTTCTTTTTGCTGAGTTCCGGTGATATATATATAGATAAATATATGTCACTGTAGTTTTGATTTTGTAGTCATTGTATCGCGGTTGTTGTGTTTTTGTTTTTCGTGTCATATCATTTCTCTTCCTCTCTCTCTCTCTTTTTTTTAATTATCTAGAGAAAAGAGAAGCGTCGAAAAAAAAAGAATTTATTTTAAAACTCTGGACAAATAGATAATAGACACTTGATAGTTGTTGTTTAACATATGATGTTTGTTACGTATAATGTGAATTCCAGCTGTGCAACAATGATTTATTTATGTGTACTATGATCGATCGGAGATGATGGCAGAAGAAACTAACTAGTGCCTTTTGAACTTTTCTTCTCTTATTTATCATATCACTATGATCATCAAGAAGATAAGTATGCTGCTCAAAAAAACAAAGCGTTGACTATGATAGGAAATGAACTAATCGATGAAATCCGACTGGAAAAGTTCAAAATAAAAGATGAATGATGACAAAAACGTATTTGTATGCATAAAACCTTTTTATGATAAAGGTCAAATTATTTTCTACAGAAAATTTTTTTTTATGTTGATTACATTTTTGTTATAGAACTCATATGTGTATGGGGTCAATTCGATTTTGATCTCTATTCCCCATAGAATACTAAACGCAAAGATAATATTTTTTTTCCCAACGCTTCATTTGATAATCGATCTATAGTCGTAATCTTTAAATTAGAAAACAAATGTTATTTAAATCTCATTATATTTCTCGTTCAATTCAAAATATCATCGTAATGAAAAAACCATTATGAAATGGGAAAAGATAATTATGGAAGAACATATATAGTTAGTCATTTTACGTCTAGACTTCTACATTCATCCTCTTTTTTTTTGTTGCTTCATAATTCCAGCCTTAAGTAATATTACTGGAATTCATATGAAATCAAAAAAAAGAAGAAAATTTGATGATTTATATATATATATATACATCTTCCGTTAAATGTCATGAGTTGTCTATCCTTAAATTGAATTGATTCTCATGACAATGAAAGACAAACAGTATATTATGACAAAAGAAGCATTAGGGCATCAGCATGCCGCCACTATTCTCATTGAACAAATGGTTCATTGATGTGATGCGATGTCTTTTGCTCATCGCGTGTGTGTATGTGGGTGTGCAGATAAGAGGCGGGCAGCTGACTGGTTTGTTTCACTGTCGACATGTGTCAGCTTATATGTATACTTGGCAAGCATCACTATCGTTCTCGATTAAATGATCACTACAGTTCCTATTTGGCTAAAAAAGAAAATAAGATACATGTTGTTTTCTTTCAAACACGCAGATGGTACATATAGCCTCTCGTCATCTATTTTGTCACCTCAATGTTCATTCGAATGATTGAATAAATTGAACACATAATTTTATTTGACACTTCAACTCATGTGAATATTTGGATAAAACTAATCACTCGAAAAGGATTCATTTGAGTTCGTATTGTCTAATGTTGAGAATGATAAAGTGTGTGATGTGCAAATAAGCGCATAAAGATGAACATCAATTGTAATGATGAAACTATGAAGATAATTGAACTGAATAAATTAATTGCTATCGAAAAATCTCTTAATAACAAATATTTTAAGAATAACATTGATAATTATCAAGAAATAAAAAAAAAGAATTTTTCTTTGTGTTTTTCTTTTTTATTTCATATTTAAAAATAACAAATAATTAATATTTTAAACTTTCTACATCACTTTCATTTCTAATATTTATTTTGATTGCTGCTTAAAGCCAAGAGAAATTAATTTGAGCAAGTTGTTTAAATTGTTGATTACATGTTGAATATAAATTTTTTAATTTCTCTCGAGTATTTTCTGTTATTAAAGGATGTGGTCGACCTTTTGATGAACCTAAACATCCATTTGGTTGTTTTATACAAGGAAAACCACGTTTATTTGAATTAAAATAAAAATGTTCTTGTTCAATATGATTTGATATATTTAAAAATTTTTGTACGTATTCAAGTTCTTGCCATGGTCGTTGAATTAAATTTTCTCCATCAACAAAATGTATTCGTTCTAATGGAAAATATTTTAACCAACGACGAAGATATATAACATAACAACCAATTTTAATAGGTGTCCAACGCGTAAAATTTTTCATTGAAATAAATTCATCAAATGTTGGATAAAATTCATGTCGACTTTTTATTTGTACATAATCACTTATAGCTCGTATAATTGGATCTCGTAAAATTAATATTAATTTTACGTCAGGTAATAAATGAAATATACGTGCTGGTGTTTGTCTATCAATAAAATAATGTGGAGTTTTTTCTATAGTTAAATATTGACTATTTTTAATTATTGGCATTTGATTTCTAAACAAAAAAACCAAACAATGAAACTCATTAATCATTCAACACTTTTTTTTTTCTTAAGGTGTAATCGTTCAATTATACGATTATGATCATGGCATGTATATAGACATGATAAATGAGAAAACAGAAGCAACAACATATATAGATATATGAGACGTCATACTGTGATGATGATAAGATAAAGACAAGGAAGTGAACCGAATGTTTCCTATTCGCATCGGCGCACCTTTTTTTTTCTCTCTCTGATCAATTTCAGTATTGACCTCCTGTTGCGAACAGTCAATAATGACTTACACTAATTCCTTTCTTTTTTGTTTTTTACTATAAAACGATTCATCTGGAAATCAAGTGATTAGATTGAAATCGGAAAAAGATCATTGAAAGCAATCAAAATCTAATCATGTAATTTTCAAGTGGCCATAAAAATATAAATATTCAAAGTTCTACTAAAAAACTTTGAATTACAAGAAGACAAAAACGCAGCATATCTCAAGATAATGATTCTTCAATGATGCTCATACATCCTCCGCCCACTCTAATCCAAAGTCTCGACTGTACGACTGAGAAGTTTCCTTTATCGATAATCTAGAACAAAACGAAAATTTTCTTTCTAGTTCAATTCTTTTACTTTTTGCGTGCATATTGATCTATTATGTTATATTCTTTATCCTTTTCTATTTTCCGATTCAATGAGTTTTTTTTTTTTGTTTTTTTCAATTAAGTTTTGCCGCCCACCTGATGCGATCAAAAAGGGCACATCTGCGCAATCTATTTTACATAAAAACTCTACATTCGCGTGCCATATCAATTTTTATTCTTCATTCTGCATATAATAAATAGAAGTAAGCCTGCAGGGAAGTTTCGATTACATAGAATGAAACACGCAAGATCATTTTCATTCATACGTACTACTTTTCTATACTTTATGTACAGAAATAATCTAAAAAGAAAATCGATTTCATGCTAGGAATGTTACCGAACATTCTACTCAAGTAAATTATTGATGGTAGTAGTGACTGTCATTCTTGCTCTCTAATGATAGAGATCATTATGCATGCTTGAATAGACTCACTCGTATGTTTTATACGTCCCATCCTTACGCATGCACATGTGTGCACTTGAAAGAATAGACGCGCTCGTCTAAACTCTTGAGACTATGACTTTAATCTATCTGTTGTTTCAACTAATAATCTCTATAGTAAAGTTAAGCAAAAGAAGAAAAAAAAAAAAAAGAAACTTAAATTTACATACCGGTACCAATCAAGACCAAGTTGAAAATTTTTTGGTGAATCAAAAAAATGAACTTCAGCTGATGAAACAGCTATAGCTGGATGTATAGATAGGAATTTTAATAAAGCTCGTGTACCGCACTTTTTTACACCAATTATAATTGCTTGTGGAAGATTTGTTGAATTTGTTACTTCAGAAGAAGATATTATTGTTGATATAATACAAACAATTATTATTACTAAGATCATTCCATTACGTCAATTGAAATAGACAAGACAACACTTGACCGACATCCGAATGACTCGTTGACCAGTAACTAGTTAATTGATCTTCGACAAGACAGTATGATTACATATATACATACATACATACATTGTGATCTTCTTTTTTCTCCGGAAGAGAAAAGAAAAGGGAAGAAGAGAGAGAGAGAGAGAGAAAGAGAAGAAAAGTCGTTTCTGTCTCTCTCTCTCTCTCTCGCTCTTTTTGTGCCTATCAATGAAGAGTTCATACGTTTTATTTGCTGTTGTACCCCATTGAGCTTTTCTTTTTCCTCTATTATTGATTGAACGTGTGTTTGTATGGCAAGCGAGTGTCAAATACGAAACGGATCAAAGTACCCTTGATTTTGTCTCTGAACAAACAATGCATGCATTCAATGAGAAGATTTATAATCCCACCCATCGTCTTCATTTGCTCTGGGTGATGTTCATATGTGATATCACAATGAATACAATTGCTCGGTCGAATGCATCAACACTATACAACAACAAAAAGAAAAAAGAAAGAAAATAGTTTCATTTATTTTGACTAATATATAACTTGATATATTACAAAAAAAACAAAAGAAAATTATAATAGGAAGTCTAATAGATCTACATATCTATGATGCAATAAAATACGCACAAGGGAAAATGAATGTTTATCGAAAATATATATGTATGGGACCAATTAGCTGTGCATATGTGCAAGCACATAAAACAAAAAATCATAATGATGATAGGCACACGTGTAGCGCTTGTTTGTTTATCGTTGCAGTTCATCAACTGAAACGATCTCTGTTAACACTTTCTATAATTATTTTACTTTAGGGTTACTTATGACATTTATTTCAAGGATTTATGGAACTATTATTTATATATTGATTAGATATGATTTGAAAGAAAAAAAAATGTTTATATAATCGATTTGTAAATCTGATACTATTTGTAAAGAAAAAAAAAATGTTGAATACATCCGATACGTAAGAATGTTTCTCATCATAGTTAAATGAATTCTATTGTTTCTTTGATTTCCTATTGATAATGAGAAAGAAAAGTAAATAATATAAGTCAATGAAGAATCAATATCACTTCCGAAAGTTTTGTTTTTTTTGTTCTTAGATTTGAAAAAAAAATAGACTCAAATATTGATTCGATCAGTTTTCTCGACAAGTCTACATTGATGAAATTAAACCTCATCATAAATATAAAGCTAAGATGAGAATGACAAAAAAGTAATGTTGAGGACCTTAATTAACCACAGGACATATGATATTCTATTGAATAACAAAAATATGCATGAGTCAAATGAATGTCTAGAAGGGAAAAAAGATGAAAATTTACAAAAAGGAAGAAAGATAAGGTATGTCATCTCTTCTTTTTTTTTTCTTTCAAGATGCGTTTCGAAATAATGACAAAAAGGAAAAAATATAAGGATTTAACCTATTAATATCAAGTTCGAATGTAAGGATTTTGTTCTATGAACAATTTTAAAAAAAATATGATCATAAATATATGTAATTTCATTGAAAAGTTGAAATTAATTTAAAAACCAAGATAACATCTTACGTATTATCTTCAATAGTTCCTTTAGTGGAAAAATGCTACTTAGGTACAACTCAATAGATGCCGCCTCATATGTCTCTTTGCAAAAAAAAAACAAAGGCAAACAATAGTGTAGGCGGCACAGTCCTTGAATGTTACATTAATTACTAATACTCGCTTGTATTCTATTTTCATTCTGGAATTTATTTTTGACGTCATTTTTTATCTTATAAAATAAATTTATTTTTGATTGATTTACATCATGTTTACGACGACACACCGTCATAGGATTTCTTCAGAAACGAGCAATACTTCAAAAGTTTCATATATTAACAACCATCAATAAGAAACGAAGAATAAGTGTTTTAATTTTTCTGCCTGAAAGCAATGCCAATCAGAAATATTTTTTTATGAGATAAAAAAGAAGTATGAGCTTTTTCTATTTGCACAAGCATTTTTTTCCTTTCTTTTTTTTTGCTTCTTCTGATATTAGACTTTCGTAACAAACTCGATGAATAAGAAAGACGTCACGAGTCGAAAAAAAAAAATCTCCTTCGCTCTCTTTCTTCCTTCCTCTCTCTTAAAAACAAGACCTATCGCATTATTATAATGAATAATTTGAATTATTTGCTGTCTTGATTCCACGTCTTTTATTTTTATTTGTATTTTTTGTGCATCACACTTTTTTTCTTTGGCCTTGGAAAATGAAACGACAGATGCGAAGATCTTTGAAGAAACTTGAAAGAAAATTTAGCCAAGCAAAATCCTTCACTACAAACTTGATGCGTAGTAATAGTGCTTATTCTTATAATCATCAAAGTACACAGGCGCCATCAATGGTATGTAAAACTTTATTAATTTTATGGATTTTTCTTTTTTTTTTTTGTTTTTCTAGTTTTCAGCAAACTCATCGGATGATGATAGTGATGAGGATGCTGTATTCGAACCAACAACACCACTCGAGTAAGAATCATGTATAAAAAATGAACGAAAAACAAAGGATGGTTTTTTGTTTTTATTAATAGGACGTCTGCGGACGATGCTCGAAGTACACCAGAGACGCTTATTCCATGTGAATTTTGTCAATTGCAACAACCGAGTGAAAATTTACTGCACCACGAGGTACAAAGATTTGACTATTTTTCTGTAATTATTTTTGTTAGTCGCGAAAATTTGGTTGATTTTAGTCGATAAAGTCTAGAAATTTTATATTTATTAATCCTTGTTGAAGACATATTGACTTAGGTTTCATTTTTTTTACATAGAGAAATTAAAGAAAAATATTGACTTTCATCCTAAAATGATGGATAAATAATATGATCATATTATTCTGGTATTTAACTGTGATTTATATGATCGAAAATTTTCTTTTTATTAAGTGTTGTATTTATGATAATAAGATAGAAAAAACCAATTGAAAAGAAAATATTGTTTTACAATTATTAATTTGCATATTTTTTCACGAGAGAATCTCTCACAGTAATTCATCAGTTTTAACTTCATTTTCTAGGATTGTAAAGAAGACCTTGAAGTTTGAGTAGCCTCAAAAAAAAAAGTATCGGATTCATAAGGTTTCCCTATAGTGTTACAATAGTGTTGCAGTGTCATTATTATAGAGTGAAGTATTGTGAGGAAAATTGTATGGCGTAGTTGTAATTTGAAATACTATTGAGTAGAATGCTTCATGATTCGACGAATATTCTAAAAGTTTCAATCAAAACAATTATTTTCATTTTGGAATATTCAACATTTATGAAATAGAATTATTCTATCAATATTAAATATTTGAACAAGGAAGCTACCATATTAACAAAAAACATTTTAGAATATTCTTACAATTTTAAACCGAAAATAGTTTATTCAATTTTTTTGTTCTATAATAAAAGCTTTTATAACTTTGTAGAAACAAACTATAGATCAAAATTCTTCTCAGATTATCCTATTTATATGCCTAGCAGCATTCAGATAATTTTGTGTACTTTTTCATATATTAGTTTTTATGAAATACAACCGATTCATATTGAGGTAGAACGAAAAGTGAAAATATGACATAGAAAGAAATTATATATTCCAGTCGTAGTTCTAAACTCTTGACAACAGGTCAAGTCTATTTAATCTCTAATTACTCATCTCTTTCTAAAAAGTTGTTTTTTTGTTTTGTATACAGAACGTCTAGGAGGGGGTGGAATTCATTCTTAATCAATTTCTGTACATTATAATTATCAATCGTGCATTGTACTCCGCTTATTATAATAATATCTCATAGGTTAAAAAGAAATTAAGCTACTGTTATTAAAAATGTTCGTATGGTTTTCGAAATTAACTTCCTGTTAGAAATAATGGCTATATGAAATTGTCATTTGCAAGGATGCACCAGAACAGAACAGCAATGTCTGAACTCGCGGTATTAAACCACCCTAAATTGTATTGTTCGTATTATTTTCAGCTCGCTCGAGCATAGCACCTCACAGAGCAGAGAGCGAAAATTGAAGCAATTGTGATTCCAGTATCTCATAGAAGACAGCATCCAGTAACTTTGTGTCTATCACAACGTTTGCTATACTCGTCAAAATCTATCTGCTCTGAAAATTTCAAAGTTTTCTGGTGAATCGTTCTTCAGAACTTCCGAAAAAGGAGATTCAAGGAAAATACTTGCAATTTATTGATTATTTTAATTTTGTTTTTAGCTTTTATGCTCACTAAACCCAAGTCAAACTCGAAGAAGACCATTAAACCGACGTAATACAACTTCTGGACGTCGTCGTCGTGCAGTCTCTGATTCTGTGTCACCATTACCTAATGCACCATCTTGTACACCACCTCGTACGCGTAGTCCATCACCGACTGAATATTCTGAAGTATCAAAGGACTTCATATGTCCCATAACAGGCACACTTTTTCATGATCCTGTTGTTGCTAGTGATGGTCATACATATGAACGAGAAGCTATTGTTCGTTGGCTTCAAAGAGAAAGAATAAGTCCAATAACACGTGAAGCGATGTCAATCGATAAAATTAATCCAAATCGTATTATCAAAAGTATGGTTGATAATATTCGGGCTGAATATCAACGAAAAAAATTACTTTATAAATATAAACTTGATGTTGATGTAAAAAACTCTGAACAAGTACCTTTTAGAAAAACACCTACGAAAGCATTTTATCGAGCAGAATGGATTAAAAAAACTTCATCATCAAGCGATTCAACTATTACTCTTATACATTTAACTGGTGAAAATGCAGAAAAAATAGCAGAAATCAATTGTTGTATGGGAACACATCCAAATATTGTTCGAGTATTAGGTAGAGTTGAACATAAAGATACAGGTATTCTTCTTCTAGTAGAAAATTTAAGTGAAGAAACACTTTCTCAATTGATGGAAAAGTCCCATCACACATTATCAATTAATGTTCTTGATATTATACTTTATCAAATTACTTCAGCTCTTCAATATCTTAGTGAAGCTAATATCATTCATGGCAATATTAGAGCTAATAATGTACTTATTTATCATTTGGATGACGTACCACAAAATACTTTAGTTAAACTAATAAATATTGGTGATACAGAAAAATCAGCCAACAATACTAATGTAGACTCAGAAGCATCATCGAATGAAATGCATTCTGAAAAATCTGATGTATATACATTTGGCAAACTTGCTCTTGAAATGTATGCAGTACAATTAGAAAAAAATGATAAATATTTAAAAGAACGCGAAACTTTATTTCAACGTTGTTTGGCGTTTGATCAAAATGAACGGCCCACATTTAATGAATTAACAGAAGCTATAAATAAATTTGTTAATGAAGACAAATCTATTTTAAAATCTAAATCGAAGTGATGATTTTTGTACTATTCTATGAATAAAAAAATATTTCATTTTTAATCTGAAGATATATATATGCATCATATTTCGATAGACTATCAAGTAATTTATTCATTGTAAATTGGTTTGATTCTTTTTTTTACATAGATAATTTAATTAAGTAATTATCGATTATAAATTATATAAAGTATAAGACAAACATTTATTTGACTGTTTGATTAATAAATATATATTCGTTAAGAAACAAAAAGAAAGATTTTTGTTATTAATCTTAACAATAAACGCTTATTCAGAGGTAAATGATCTTTATCAAATTACGTTTAAAAAAAAAGTGATTACTAACCTATGATTATATCAAAAGTGACATGTTTATGATAGGTAATAATGCATACGCAAAATGTTACACAGCTTATCAATATAGAAGAAAGATACTAAAATATCAAAAAATTTCAAATCTTCCAGGTTGATCGTTTTATAATAGTAATAGTCAATAAATCATTTTTATATTCAACATATACCGATAGTGTGTATTTATATTAGAGCACGTTGGGTTCAACATTTTTGGATCTGAAGCTAAACTTCTAATATCAACGACGTGTCTTAATTTAAGTGTGAGAGTCACTATCAATTCGGTTACTAACACATCATAATTTTTAATTTATTCAGGAATTCTTTGTGTATCTGAAATATCCATCAAGAGAAAGTCAAAAGTAATCACAGTAGTGAATTATAATTTTGATGATACATATTGTTTATAAATATTTCTCTGTACATTTCTTTTGACCAATAATAATGTAAAAAAAGCATAATGATAAATGATTTGCTTGAAGTAATAATAATTGTATATTTTTATTTGAGATTTTATAATCTTTATTCACATTAAAATGTAATAAAACTAGTAATATCATAAACCCAGATGAAACAGATATATAAAGTACGATTAGTACTTACATAAACTCTAAATTATCAATTATATGACTAAATTCAAAAAAGCTTAATAAAATGTTATTGATACACTTTTCGTTAAGAATACTATAAATAGTTATCAGTAGCAAAGGTAAAAATAGCATGCATAATTTTTTCAGCAGTAAACACAAATTCAGTTCTTTTTTTTGCATATCGAAATGAATTGTCTTTTTATGTTTTATTTATATGAGAACAGAGAACGAATTGAACTGAATTTTACTGATTCGAGTTCAGTTTGATTTCGTTTTTGGTCTTTGGTATTGAGACAGTGGCGTACGCAGAAATTTTTCAAGGGGGGCCCAACTTCGTAAGGGGGGGCCCGCCATGGCACAAAAAATTTTTTATCACGCGAAAATATTTTTTCCTGTACCCTCCTTCAGGACTTTTTCGTCTCAAGGGGGGGCCCGGGCCCCCTCGCCCCCCCCCCCTGCGTACGCCACTGTATTGAGATATCCTTACTTGAAGAATAGTAATATAATACCCACAGATGATGTTTTTAGTTCTGATGACAACGGAACTTAATACAGAAAGATTCAACATATTTATTATTTGTCAGTAAAAAGAGACGCCTGAATAGTTTATTTATTTCAATAAAAATTTGTAAATCTATTTATATTAATTATCAACATCAAAATAACCTTGAATAGCCCAATGAGTAGATGGAAAAACAATATCTGATGTTTTAATATGTTGAATGCCTTCTAATTCCATATGAACAGGTTTTAATTGATTATTTATTGATGTTGATGATCGAAAGAAAATTCTATCATAACGTTCAGGTTTATCATTTCCAGTTATATTTGAATTTAATTCAGGATCAAACGTATATGTTGTTTCAGGTCGTTGATCTGTCATTTGCCATAAATCATCGAGATTAATTGTATGAGAATTCCAAAAAGTATCTGAAATCTATTTCATTAATATTTTAATTAAAATAAAACAAAAAATAAATAAATTAAAACTGACTTGACTACTGATACCGAATAAGATAATATGATTTGGATTATTTTTATTTATTTGTTCGAAACAATATGAATATGTATTTTCATCAATAAAAGCATTAAATAAATCAATACTAATTGAATTTTTATACTCAACCTATAAATAAATAGAATGCTATATTAATTAAAAAAAGAAAAACATAATTCATTAAATTTTTACTTCAACTTTAAGCATATTCCAATTTTCAGAATTTTTAATCATTGATACATGTTTCTTTTTTATAGTTGATTTATGTGTAAATATTGATACATAATTCGAATCATTCGATGAATCTAAAAACAAAACGACATTATTGATTAAAATTAAATATGGTCCTGTTTTCTTTTCAAATACTAATTTGTATTGATTCATCATCGTATAATGATGAAAGACATGTTATGATTAATGTTAATGCAAATGTTCCAACTTGTTGTAAAAGAATAACATCAGGTTTTTCTCTAATGTTAACAAATTAAACTTAAAAAATAAAAAGTTGTTATTCATTTATATTTCTTACCGAAGTAAAATTTCAATTATAGTTTCTGTTCGTTTTTCAATTAAATTATTTAATTCCACTTCATCACTATCTGTTGTATCAGTATTCCATGATAAAATTTTAAAATATTTTTCATTTGTATCTTTCCAATTTTGTCTAAGATAAATAAAAGTTTTTTTTTTTTCATTATAAAATAATAGAATATGGAATCTTGTTTTTACTTCGTATTCATTATTGATTGAGCATGTTCTTTAGCTTCATATGTAGCTTTTAAAGCTTGATCAATATTCCATCCATGATCTTTAAGTAATTGAATAGCAAATTCCATGTCAATACCAGTTGCTTTAGCAAATGCTGTACTAACTTTTGAAGCGATATCATGATTAAATGGACATTCATTTGATGAATCACTTGTTGAACTTGATAATGATTTATTATTATCTTGATCAGATAATTTTTCATCATCTTCTTGTTCATCGTCTATTATTTGTGGATCATTTAATGAATTTGATGTCATCCTAGTTGTTTCGTCTTCGTCTTTATATTTTTATCGAATGAATGAAAAAGTAAGATATAAAACAAAATCATGCTTTATCTATTAATTCTTTGTTTTAATTTATATAATAAAATAAGATGTCACTAGTGATAAGATTTATCTAAAGAAATACTTTTTTTTTCTATTGATAGTTAGAACAACAATCAATAACAAAAATTTTCCTGTTTCCCGTCTACTAAAACGGATTCTCTCTAAGTTTAATTTTGCCTAAACTTTAATTTTGCTTGGAACATATCTTCTGATTGATTTTGAAACTCTCTATCAGCCGCTTTATTTCTCTTTTCTCTTGCATTAAAATTCCGATGATTACTGTGAGTATAAACTTCATGTACTTATTGACCAACGTTTCGAAACTTTTTTTTTCTGTTATCATTTCCCTTTTTATTTCAGATTTAGTATTCTCATGGATTAGATTTTTCAAAAAGGTAACTACATACATTCGCTAATAGACTTTGCAATTCTCTGTTGTCAGAAATTTTTTAAGTAAAAAACAACAAAGAGATAGTTAAGGCCCTCCTCCCCCTCAAAAAAAGTCAATTTTCGTCAAAAAAGTCGAAATGGAGATAAATGCATGGGAAGATAGCCCGTGATCTGCTCTTTCATAACTGATAAAAAGTTTTCGTCGATACCTCCTTTTTGTCCAAAATTTTCGAAGATTTTCGTCAACCCCTATTCGAAAAACCGGCTGTTTTTTGAGGGGGAGGAGGGC